TTGATAGCTTGCACGTGTCACAAAATTCGAGAAAATTTCTTTTGAAGTTTGAGCTTGGTCAATGGAATAATTGCAGCCACCCAATTTCACATCCAATGGTAAATATTAATGTGACCATCTTGTATCAAAGGTAAGTGGTCTCATTCTATATTTTCCCATTTAATTTTATTATTATTGGAATAGTAAATTTTTTTGGTTTTGGGTATGGTGCAGTTGTTTTGACAAACTTAGGAATGCATTTCTCAGGTAGTGCGTTTGGTTTATCTGGTGATGGGATTCATGGCTGAGAGCAGATAAATATAGAACTTGCATGAAATACTTTATGGAAGAAATCAATGAATTCATTCCATTGACTCGTGTACATTGCATTCGATATCTTGATATTTTTGTCCTTCAACGTACTTCATGGAATTTATCATGAATGCATTCCATTGACTCCTCTGGGAAGAACTCGACCAAGTGGCTTTCCTCCCTCACCCCTTGTGGTGCCTCGTGGGGGATTTCAATACCACCCGATGCTCATTCAAGAGAAACTCCAATTCCAATATCTCCCGAGGGATGTTGGATTTCTCGAACTTCATCTCCCGGAATAAACTTTTAGACATTCTCCTCCAGGGCAACCAATACACTTGGTCCAACCACTCCTCTAACCCGTCCCTTTCCAAACTCAACCGGTTTCTCATATCCACCGGTTGGGATGATGCATTTCAGGGGTCCCACACCCTTCCTCTCCGACCATTGCCCCATTATCCTTGATACCCAATCAGTTGCTAGGGACCAAAACCCTTCTGTTTTAAGCTCTCGTGGCTCGAAGAATCATCCATCTTTTCGCTTATTCTGGCTTGGTGAAATTCTTTTTCTCCTTTTGTTTCGAGTAAGGCAGGCTACAAGCTCCAATCCAAACTCCGATACCTCAACTCTCAAGTCTTGGAGTCAATCTATCCCCAGGAATTTCCACCCCCTCAAAACCTTACATCTTTCTTTTGTCTAATCTCTAAGACATTATAGAGGAGTTTAGACCCCTTTCCATCTCCGAATCTCTCGAAAGAACCCAACTCAAAGTTGACTACCTCTCCCTACTCAAAAAAGAAGATATCTTCTTGTTCCAAAGATCTAGAGTGAAGTGGTTACACTTTGGTGGCCTCAACACCGGTGTCTTCCACAAAATTGCAAACTATCGGTGCCGAGACAATTCCATCTCAATCATCAAGGTTGATAACAGAGTGCTCAACCAACCCCACTAGGTGAAAGAAGCCATTATTTCCTTCTTTAAAACCCTCTATTCCTTTCCCTCTGGCCCCAAACCAAGAATTGCCGACGTCCCCTTCCTCTCCCTCCCTGGCCTGCTGGCCGCATGGCTGGAACGCCCATTCACAGAAGAAGAAATCTTGGCTTCCATTGCGGACTTGGGCCAAATAGAGCCCCTGGACCGGACGGTTTCCCCGTGGCCCCTTTCAACACATTCTGGAGTACCTTTAGAAATAATTTTCTATGCTTCTTTGAAGAAATTCTTTCACCATGGCATATCATCCACAAAGCCATGAATGCCACATTCCTCACGCTCATCCCCAAGATTGAAGGAGCTGAAGAGTTCAAGGACTTTCGTCCTATTAGTCTCATTAATTCCAGTTACAAGATCCTCTCCAAAGTGTTAGCATCCCGCCCGAAGGAGGCCCTACCCCATGTAATCTCCCTCTCCTGAGTGCTTTCATGGAAGAGTGACAGATCCTTGATGGGGTCCTGATGGCTTACGAATGTGTTCACTCCAGACACCCTGCCAAGCAGTCGGGTATTATTTTTCAAAATTGACTGGGAAAAGGCCTACGACCATGTTGATTGGGCCATCTTGGATGAGACTATGTCTCGAATGGGGTTCGGTGATCATTGAAGAACTTGAGTGAAAGGTTGTTACTCACAACCCTACTTTTTCATCCTAATAAACGGCTAACCCAAAGGTTTTTTCCCGGCCTCTAGGGGCCTATGGTAGGAGGCCCTCTGTTCCCCTTTCTCTTTGCTATTTCAATCGAGGTCTTTAGCAAATCAATTTCCCGCAAGTATTAGTTTCGCGGCCTCACCAGATTTAAGAGTAGCCCCAGGGGACCAGTGATATCCCACCTGCAATTTGCTTACGTCATGCTTGTCTTCCTCAGAGTGTCACCACATGAACTTGAATCCCTCCAAATCTTTTTAAATGCTTCGAATTCGCCACAGCATTCAAAGTCAATATGGCAAAATCTAAAATGATTGGCGTGGCCTTGAGCTCGCAAGAGACTTGATCTCTGGCCTTCGGATGGGACTGCAAAGTTGAGGACCTTCCCACTAGCTATCTTGGGATGCCTCTGGGCCTTGGGGAACTTAAACAAAGACAATGGTCCCACATTATTGACAAATTGGACTGCCGATTGGCTGGATGGAAAAGTCGCTCTCTCTCTCTTTCGCGGGCAGAATTATCCTCATTAAGGCAACTTTATCCAATACCCCCATTTACCTTATGTCCTTGTTTCATTTGCCAGTAGTGGTCTCTTCTCCCTACAATAGTTGATGAGGAACTTCCTGTGGGCAGGCGACTCTAATACTAGGAAGTATCACCTCATCTCATGGGAGAAAGTGTGCCAACCAAAACAGTTAGGACGCCTTGGCATTCGTAACTTAAGAAAACAAAATTCGGTTTTCTTGGGAAATGGTGGTGGCGTGTAGCAACTCAAGATAACCTCCCCTAGATCTAAGTCATTCGATGCAAATACCGACTCCAATCCAATGACTGGTTACCTGAAGTTAGGCCATTCAGTAGGGCATTTGTGACATGGAAATCCTACATCTCAACCTTTGCCCTCTTCCACAGGAATATCCATTTCCACTCTAGGGAAGGATGCTGATTTTGATCAGATCTTTGGCTAGGCCACACCCCCATGATGGACCAATTCCCTTGACTGTTCGCCCTGGATCAAAACAAACAATCTTCGGTTGCAGAAGAAATGCCCCTTTCGGGCCTCCTTAGATTTTGGAACCGGTCTTTTAGGAGGCTTCTCTCAGACTCTGAAACTTCTGAATGCCTAAACCTTTCGGCCCTTCTTCACTCGACCTTCCTGGCCACTTCAGGGTCGAACCAAATCTTTTGGACCCCTTCTCCCTCGGGATGTTTTTCCGTATCCTCTTTCTACAAGAAACTTCTTATGCCGCCCATCTTTCCCCTTACACCTATCTCCATAGTTGCCCAAACATGGTCATCCATCGCTCCCCCTAAAGTCCAAGCTTTTGTGTGGGCTTTAACAGTGGACCACCTTCAACGTAGAGGACTTCCTATCCCAAATAGGTGCGCGATGTGCCTAGCGGTTGAAGAAAGCAACCCTCACCTTTTTATCCATTGCCAGCTTGCCCATGACTCGTGGAGTCTATTACTCCAACTTTTTGGCTTGCAATGGGTCACCCCCCTCCCCCCCCCCTCCATTCCGGCACTCTATCGACTGACCCTCTCGCGAATCCGTGGGCTTAAGCCAATAGGATGCTGTGGCAGGCTTCAGTAACAGCCACGATTTGGGTCATTTTGGATCAAAAGGAACTCAAGAATTTACCAAGGGGACAAAAGCGCGACTTCAGCTCTTTTTAACAAGATAATTGCCCTGTTATCTTTTGGGCTACCAATCACAAGTGATTCAAAGGCATCCCCTCCGTGACATTCCTTCATAATTGGACCCGCCCTTCAATTCCTCTTGGGGTCAACCCATGATCGTTGAAGGCGATGCTCAAAACATTATTACCTGGGCCTCCAGTTCCGCACCTTGTCCCTAGTACCTCACCCCGATTTATGGCGAGATTACTCTAATTTGTAGGGAGTCATCTCATGGAAGCATACGAGGCGGGAATTCAACGCCTTGGCGAACCACCTCGCTAAAGACGGAGCTCACACCAGCGCCACCTGACTTTTTGAGTATTTGTGTTTTTGTACCTATGTACTTTTGTTTATAATTGCTGGGTTAACTTTTATGATATAACCCGACTTTTTGTATAGGACTACCATTCTTTGGTAAGCCTATTTTTGGCTAGAGCCCTGGCTTGTGGGTGATCTCTATGCTCTCCTATAACCCCATCTTATAAATAGAACAATTAACAATTTCAAAAATAAAAATAAAAATTGAGTATCAAATTAAAGCTAGTCAAATTGCTTAAAAAGGCATGAAAAATTGATGAAATAATGGATATAGTTATCGAGGTTAGGATTGCAGGATCGTGACAAGCATGAAGCGCCTTATGGTAGGGATCAAGGTGTGTACACACTGAAATCTAAAGATCTCGGTCCTAATATGTGGGTGTGCTTGATCAAAACTTAATCAGGATCGAGTGATAAATTTTATGGGATCAAGCTCCGTCTGGTTAAACAATCGAGGCTCCAAGAGCACTTAACTAGTATAGTAGTATTGGATATGCTAATATACTATACCACATTGCTATAAAATGGTATACTACTATACTAAAATAGTATGTACTACTATATTAAATTTACTTATAAATTTACTTTATACAACTATTTAATTTATACTATATAATTATAGTATATACTACTATTACAATACCATCTTGCTAGATGCTACTACAATGCTATACTATACTACTAGACTATACCACATTGCTAACTATGCTAAACTACTACATTATACAATAATGCTGGATCCTTTGTAACTCAGGATCTCTATCCATAATTGGAAGGATTGAGATTCCAAAGTTTAAAAATTGCAGAGGAGCGATATTCCCTTCCTTGAGTGCTGGAGCGAAATTCCGGTGTGGGATTGGCCCCTTGGTTGGATGATCTTGGTAACTATGATCAAGGAAGAGCAATGTTGATTTGGTTGATTGAAACTCAAAAGAATAAGGTTACAACTTGGGGACTAGACTCTTTGATGGAACAAAGTCCCATTGCTTTGCAGCGTCTCTTAAAGTAAAGCAAAATTAGGGAAATAATTTTTTAAGATGCGTGATTTTTGTCCATGACATTCATGAAGGAAGTTGCATTTGTGATTTCCAAAGAACTCCACGTCGGAACACGAATGCTCTCAATTACTTATTATATTTATTGGTGACATCATCCTTATCAAATACAACATATTGGGAGTGCCTCACAATTCAAATCTGATTGTCATCTGGAAGAGAATGGATCTGGGCTCAAGTTGAAACTTCAAGTGTTCAGATTCTAACAATATATAAAATAATCTTCCCTTGTTCATTGCGGATAATACTGCCAAACATCTTCCCTTGTTCATTGTGGATAACACTGCCAAACCCTGATGGGAGTGGGTTTCTCCTGGAGTAAACATCAAGATTGAGCTTTAAAATACTTGATGGTCGAGGATTATAGTCCACTGATGATCTTGACCATAGGGAACCTCTAATCATGGTTTACCGCCAGGCGGTCCAAAATCTTGGCTTTCATGTGTTTCTTGATTGAGCTGTTGGGAGCTCTAAGTATCCATATATCAAACTATTTCGTCTTTGGTCATCCACAATGATACCCTTTTAGTTACTATTGTTTCTCTACTTGAATAATGACAAGTGTCTACTTTATTATGAAAAGTATATTTTCTTTTTATGGCTTATTATTAAAAATCTATTACAAATATCTAGTTTCTCATGTTTAAAGTCTTAATATCTCTTTTGCATCATGATTTTATATTTTCTTTTTCTTTTTAATTTTTGCGACTTCTGTTTTTTGTCAATAGATATTAAAGGGAGCTTTTCACTTTGGAGATGTGTCTAAAATTTTTGCTGGATAAATATAAAAGTATCCAATGAGGTCAATGGACAGTTAGTGTCCAATAGTTGTATTGGACATTGAATCATTGTATGTTCTAAAGTTGTCCCGGTGACATAGGTCGTTTTTTTTAATGGTAGATCTTCTCTTGATGTTCCCACTTCTAAATTGTCTGGTGCTGCACATTGTTGTATTCTCCTTATTTTGAATGGCTAAATAGTTGCTTCAACTTGAAAGTGTTTTGACATTGGATACTTCCCTTGGTCGTTGTTCCTTGGGAATTTGTATCCTTTTCCTTTTAGATACATCCAATCCTTATTTCTTACTAATTGGTGACCTCGCACTTCGATTTTCTTAATGACTGCATCAGGAGATGATTAATGTTCTTTTCATTTTCCCAGGTAGGAAATATTGGTGGAAGGGAGTTTGCGGAATCATTGGCACCCGATGTCCAAAAGTTGCTTGTAAGATACTGATTTATCTGCATGATAATATTATTTTTGTTTTTGAAAAGGAAAACATGTGATAGGTGTTTATTTTTCCTGCATCAGATATCCAGTAGCTGCAGACCACTTGTGAGAAAAAAGGCGGCCTTATGTCTGCTACGGCTTTATAGGAAGAACTCTGATGTGGTCAATGTAGATGGATGGTCAGATGTTATTCAAATCATCTGCAGTACCGGTATAACCACAAAAATACTTGAGTTACAGTTTTCTGATTGATTTTATTTTTTATCCTTTCAGGTCTGATCGCATGGCCCAGTTGCTTGATGAACGCGATATTGGTGTCCTGACATCTGTTATGAGCCTTCTTGTGGCTCTAGTTGCAAATAATCACGATGCATATTGGAGCTGCCTGCCAAAATGTGTTAAGATTTTGGAGAGGCTTGCTAGGAGTCAAGATGTTCCACCAGAGTATACGTACTATGGAATCCCTTCTCCCTGGCTTCAGGTTTGTGGACTTCTTTTGTCGTCTTTTGCTATGTCGCTTTCAAAGTTTGAATTTTTAACGATATTACCTGTGATCTAAATTTCTCTTGGTATATATGGTAAAAGGCTATCTTGGTATGTATGGTAAAAGGCTATAATGATGATGATGATGATGATGATGTGTGGTAATTTTATTGATTTTTCCCACTTATATCTTAAAACCTGGGATCATTTTCTGATTTCACTTGGCAGTTCATTATTTCCACTTATATCTTAAAATCTGAGATCGCTTTGTGATTTCAATTTGGCTTTCTTTTTGTAGGTGAAGACAATGAGAGCTCTTCAATACTTTCCAACAATTGAAGACCCAAATACCAGGAGATCTTTGTTTGAGGTTTGACTTATTTTGGTTTGCAATTTAAGAAATTATTTACATGTTTTTCAGTTGTAATAAGCCATAACATTGTGATATTGTAGGTTCTTCAGCGCATTTTGATGGGCACCGATGTCGTTAAAAATGTGAACAAAAATAATGCCTCACATGCCGTCCTTTTTGAGGCCCTTGCATTGGTATGTTATTCATCATGTTTTTCTTCTGTAACCAACATTACCAAACACTTGCTGAATAGTGTGAATGCTACTTTAGTCTTCACGGGTCCCTGTGGGGATGTATTTGATCTTATTAATGCTTTGCCTAAAGCAATTGCTTCATGATCGAAATGTGTCTCTTGTTTGTTTTTCTTGTAATATCTTTTGATTTTATTCACCAATAAGAAATTGTCATTTCATTTGAATTTTGATGATGTTTTAAGATTGTTCTTGTGGTGGCTATGTTGTGAACATGTTTAGGTTATTATGATATTTTCATATGTGAACATTTGGTGCTTGAGGACTGCAAAGCATGATAATGTAACTGTTTGTTTGAGGACTGCATAGCATGTTAATGTAACTGTTTGTTTTGTGGACCCAAAAATTGATGTGCGGATCTTGTTTTGGGAGTTCAAAGTGACGATACTTACTGTTGTTGTGTTGCCCAGTTCTGTTATCTTTTTAGCGTCCAGAGCATTTCACCTGGCCTTGCTTCATGTAAGACTTAGTCATTAGCGTCCAGAGCATTTCACCTGGCCTTGCTTCATGTAAGACTTAGTCAAGGAGAGAAACTATACTACCTCTTGAAGGAAAATTGCTTCAAGTGAGATACTGAGACAGAATAAAAACTTTCCATGTATCTAATGTAGAATGAGTACAATTCTCAAGGACATTGGTTTAAGGACAAACAAATCTAAATGAGGACAACTTCATTATGTGATGGAGAATGACTGCAATTCCCTTCAACATTACCAAAATGACAAGCAAATACAAGTAATGACCAATATTGTCCATAATGTATCTGATTAATATATTACTGGATGTACCAACAATAAACACATATAATGTACATGCCCTTGCTAAAATTCTTCTCTGAGCTTCTTATAGTATTGATTTTTTTTTTTTATGTTCTGTTAATTTCTTTTTATCTCATTATCTGCATTCTGATGTAAGCTTTTGATGACATTGTGTTGGTAGACAGTGAATTGTGGGTGTAAATACAAATGCTGTCCTTTAAATAAATCATAACATTTCTATTATACTATTGTTTTATTATTTCACACAAAAGGATTAGTAATCAAAGATTAAAAGTTCCTTCGTGCTGATGTTCTTATGGCATGGAGTTGGTCCTATTATAGGTCATGCATCTTGATGCTGAGAAAGAAATGATGTCTCAGTGCGTTGCATTGCTTGGCAAGTTTATAGCTGTTCGTGAGCCAAATATTAGATATCTTGGCCTTGTAAGTATTGGCAGAATGGTGAATCTGTTACCTTTGGCAACTTTAGTAATCTGACATCAACAAATCCCCAAATTTGCAGGAAAACATGACAAGAATGTTGATGGTCACAGATGTGCAGGAGAGCATTAAAAGGCATCAAGCACAGATTATTACATCTTTGAAAGATCCGGACATCAGGTAAGTCTCGATGGACAGCATATGATCTGATACCTGGCATATCTTGCTGTAAATCTTTGTTGCCATTTTTGCTTAGAGCCTCTCATTGTCATCACTTTGGCTGATCTGATTTTGCTTGCAAAAACAATGAACCATAACTTATGGCTCCAAAATATTGGATCCCTTTATGGTTGCATGACATAGTGAGAAAGGATTGCTTCATTGAATGACAATTTTCTTGTAAAGATAAAGAGAGCACTGAATGAGTAAATTCTTAATGTATTAGCATCTGATTAGTTGCATTAGAATTGCAAGTTGTATTTTGATGAATTGCTTTTGTATAAATTGCATTAAATTTTTAGTACACTCATTTCTGTTAAGAAACAATATTCCATCACCATTACACCCATGTTAGCTTGGTAACGTTTTCAGTAGCTAGCTTTTTGCAGTTATGACGCATCTATTGAAACCCACAGTTCTGAGGAATTTATCTTCTCCTTTGTTTGAACCATTTAGTTTCTCTGTGCACCTACGATCTTTGACATGTTTGACTTGGCTATCTGTACAATTACAATATGAGCTTAAAGCAATAGTTGCTATGTCAGAGGTTTCCTAATCAATGTGATCATTTGGTTTCAAATTTTTGTCAACTAGTTTGATTTGACTTGTTGCTCAGAACCTCAGAGCAAAATGGTTGCTGATTCAACCATGAAGAAAATGATTTCAGTAGGTGTGAGATGTTCAAAATCAATAGAAGACATGTTACTGATCTAAGACTGAGATGGTAAACATTTCAAAGTCATTAAGAGAAACCGTTCAAATAATCAAGAAGGATAAGGCTTCACATACTGATTATGTGACTGACTTTTGTGACATCTAAGCTTACTTTTAGCTTTCATAATTGAATTTGCTTCATTCCTACATCACAATTGGGAAAACAGGAACCATTATAGTGACAATAGATGTACTCCGTTGCCCATGGCATTCGTTTTTGTTATAGTCAGGTGCCCTATCTTACCAATGAAAAGCTAAGTGATCGCCCTTTATCTGCCTGATTTTGAAGTTTATTTTCTGGTCTAAAATGTAATGCAGACATTTGTGACTTGAGGCACAATGTGTTTATATTGTAAATTGGTTGTCTCAAGTCGAAGTGTTGAGGGCGGGATTATTCCTAATCATATCATGTTGATAGTGCAGGATAGTGTCTTCATAGTTTGGTCGTTCATGCCACTTGTGTTCCTCTACTTGTAAATTTCCTTCGGAAGACACTTGTAGTACTTTAATGTCTCCCCCTGTCTATATAATTGAATGTCTCTAGTTATGTCATCATCAACAAAGCCTTTTTCCAACTATTTGGGGTCAGCTACATGAATCCTGATACGCCATTATGCTCTATCAAGGGCCATACCACCAGGGAGACTATAAATCTCCATATCTTTTCTCACCATGATCATTTGGGCCTGCCCCTTGTCGTTTTTGAGCCTTCCACTTGAACCAACTCACACTTCCTATTAGGTGCTGTACTGGATCTGCGTTGCACGTGACCATCCCACCTAAGTCTAGTTTCTCTCATCTTATCTCCTATTGGAGCCACACTAAAGTTCTCCCTAATGTATTCATTTAAAATTCTATCTCTTCTTATTTTACCACTCATCCATCTCAATATTCTCATCTCAGCTACACTTATCCTATGGGCATGTTGTTTATTGATTGCTCAACATGTTGCGTCATAAAGCAAAGCTGGTCTCACAACTATCCTTTAGAACTTCTCCTTCAGCTTCATTGGCATGTGATGATCACATAAACTCCAGTTGCACATCTCCACTTTGCCTATGTAGCTCTAATTCTATATGCAATATCTTCCTCAATCTCTTTGTTTTTCTGGATTATTGACCCAAGATATTGAAAGTGCTATCTTTTTAGTATTTCTTGGCCATCAATCTTAACTACTTCATTGTATGTACTCCTATTATTACTAAATTTGCATTCCATATACTCTTAAGTCCGGCTAATTTTAAAACCTTTATTTTTTAGAGCATTCATCCAAAGTTCTAGCTTTCTATTGACGTGGCTTTGTGTCTCATTGATCAAAACTATGTCGCCCGTGAACAACATACAATATGGTACCTCATCTTGTAGGTGCCTAGTTAAGTCGTCCTTAACTAATACAAATAAGTATGGGCTCATCGCTGACCCCTGATGTAGACCTATTGTCTTTGAAAACTCACTCGTTGCTTTACTAGTTGTTTGCATACTAGTTAATGCTCCCTTCTACATATCTCTCACTGTCAATATAATATTTGGAAACTCTTTTGTTTTCCAACACCCACCAAATTAAATCTCGAGGTACTATTTCATTAGTTTTCTCTAGATCAATAATGACCATGTCGAGGTCTTTTTCGTCGCCCTAAACTTCTCAATCAGTTGTCTAAGTAGGAAAATAGCCTTAATTGTTGTCCGCCCTGACACAAAATCGAATTGGCTTTCTGATACACTTGTTTCATGTTTTAGTCGTTGCTTAATCACTTTCTCCCACAACTTCATAATGTAGCTCATAAGTTTGATCCCTCAATAGTTCGCACAATTACGTATGTCTCCATTGTTCTTGTGACTAGGTACCATTTGACATTTTCATTGTTTTCAACACCTTGTTGAATAGCTTGGTCAGCCAGTCAATGCTGATCTCCCCCTGCGTTTCCAAACCTCTATAGGGATACCATTTGGTCCTAAAGCATTTCCTATCTTCATCTTCTTCAAAGCTTCTTTCACTTATATTCTAATCCTATGAATGTATCTATGACCTCTTCCCTCATTTGTGCCAACGGTTCCTTCTACCACTGTGTTCTCATTGTGTTCGTGATTTAGTAATATTAAAAATAAACTCTCCACCATTCGTTGACTTCTTTATCCTTCACCAAGATCCTATGATCCTCACTCTTAATGCATTTAATATGGTTTAGATCCCTACGCTATTTTTCTTTTATTTTTGTTAATTTGAAGACATCATTTTCACCTTTTCTTGTTACCAGTTTACTGTATGGATTATCTGCCTTAAGTTTAGCCTGACTTACTATTTGTTTAGAATTTTTCTTAGCATTTTTATGTTCTTCTAAATTGTGATCATTTCCATTGCATTGTCAAGTTTTATAATATGATCTTTTTTGGCTAATGGCGTTTTGAACCTCATCACTCCACCACTAAGTTTGCTTATCGATTTTTTTTCTCTTTAGTTTCTCCTAAAACTTCTTTTGCCACTTTCTTAATATGGCCAGTCATCTCATTCCACATAACATTGACCTCATGTTCAGAGTTTCATTTTCCTTCTTTAACTGATTTAACACTAATTAAGTCTATTTTCTCATTTTTAAAATTCTACCACCTAGCTCTTGAACACCTATTAATTTCACCCTTTCTCTTCCATCTCTTCATGCAGGCGTCCATAACAACGAGCTTATGCTGTGTAGTCAAGCTCTCTCTTGGGATAACCTTACAGTTTTTACATGATGGTCAATCTACCTTATTAACTAGAAAGCTATTTGGCTTTTATATGATCTACTTTTATATGTTACTAAATGTTCATTTCACTTTTTAAAGTAAGTGTTTGCTATTGCTACGTTGCGGGCCATAACAAAATTTAGAAGAGCCTCATCCATCTCATTTCTTTGACCAAATCCATATCCCCCATGTACCTCGTCATATCCTCTACTATCCTTCCCAACATGATTATTTCAGTCCCCTCCTAAAATGGTTCTCTCTCCATTTGGTATGTCTTGGACTAATCTATCCATGTCCTCTCAGAATTGTCTCTTAATTTTATCTAGTCCTACTTGTGGTGCACAAGCACTAATTACGTTCTTTATCTCTTCTTCTAATACAATTTTAACTAATAGGAGCGTATCACCTACTCTCTTGATGACTTTAACTACTTTTGTCTTTTAAAACTTTGTCTATTATTACTTACACCATTTCTATTATTATCCTTCTTTTATACCAAAGTTTATACCCATCTCTTCCCTTCGCTTTTTTCCTTTTGCACTCAGTTTCTTTTAAACAGACTATGTTAACCCTCATTCGTCTCATTATATTCACCAAGTTTATACTTTTACTTGTAAGTATTTCTACATTACCTCCGCTCGTCCAAAATGTCACGGGAACGCTTGCCTATTTTTATCACAACTAGGCAGTGCTGTGGCGCGTCGCTTCTGGGGAATGCCCTAGCTAACCTTTGCTCATTTATCAATGTACTTGGGTTTCGGTATAGCGTGTCGCTTACGGAGAACACCCTAGCATAAGCCGGTAATGTAGGTTTAGAAATCATGGAAAGTTTTGGCAAAATTTTACGTTGGATGCTTCACAATTCATCTCCTTTTGGCTTGGATTGGGTTAAGGGAAAGTTTAAGGTCCTCGCTCTTCTTAGACCGTTTTCACTCTTCTTAGACCGTTTTTTGAAAACTCCAAGTGATACATATTTATCTAAATTTTTATTTTGCCAAAAAATACACTGGAAGACTTCCCTAAAAACGGCCGAAGTGCCGAAGAGCTTCCCTTATGTAGACAAAACAAAAAGGTCTCTGAAGCAAATCTATTAACAATGCAGTGTGTGAATATGCATGGAAAAAGATTTGTGTGCACCAAGAGCAGATAAAATTTGGACCCCAAATTTTGGAGATAAGCCCTTCTCATACTAGCACCCAAACCCAAAAGACAAGAAAATAATAAATAACAATAACAATAAAATAACATATCTCCAGTCATGACAATTAACGATTAAATGTTTTTGGCTACAACCATGAAATTTCAGCATTAAATGTCATTTGGCTCAATCAGCTGGTGGGCAGCATATTACAAAAACACAATTACCTTGTCCCTAGGGATCTTGGTGACTTTGGACTGTAGACTATCTGTTAGGTAGCATTGTCCGGTAGTACTGTCAGCCACATATGTGCGAATGCTCCTAATACAACCAACCATACCTTGTATTTTTCTACTTTGATCGTCTTTCATAACCTCAATGTTATTGCTGAAACGTCAGGATCCATATAACTGGGGTTGTCATTCAACTGTGAATGGTGTATTTTAGGTGCTGCCTTCATTCTATTGATCAAATTGATCACAACATAGAAAGTTCAAGAGGCATTTCTGCCGATGTTACCTGAACATCAATAGGAGCCAGAGATGCCCGACACAACATCCACAAATTCAGACCTAGCGTGACACTTCAGCACATTTTTTTAAAATAAAAATTACAAAGTTTAAGAGCACTGTATGCTATAAAAAATACAATAAAGTCTTGTGGAGTATATACACTTTATATCTAAAATATATAGTATAACAAAATGAGTGTTTAGATATATTAATAAAAAAATAAAATCAATATATATATGTGTGTGTGTGTATATATATATATATATATATGGAAAAGTCTTAAAAATGCCTATAGGTGATTTTGAGCAGTGTTTCGCCCTGCCACGGACATTGCATGTCCATGGCGGTTTATCAAACAAAATCGCAACGGACGACGCCATATCCGTGGTGGTTCCACGTGTTTTTTTTTACCACCACGGACATGCTAGGTTCGTGGCGATTTTTTAATCCTCACCGTCTGAAAAAACACTGTTCATTTTCGCCTATAGGCATTGCGTAGTGCCTTCGTTATATATATATATATATATATATAGAGAGAGAGAGAGAGAGAGAGAGAGAGAGAGAGAGAGAGAG